CTATTGACTTCCTATTGAGACTCAAAATTTTAAGTACAACTGGTAAAGAATTCAATGGATCAAATTCAGTAAATCTGAAGTCACTGGAATAAAGGCCCCTAAGAAAAAAAAATGTGTCAATTTTAAAGGTCTTTCCTAACTGAAGACCATTTTGTGATAGAGCCAAAGGTTAATAAAATCAGTAGTGAATGTAGCAATTTTACAGATAAGCTATTCACAACAAGTGTAGTTACTTGAATAAAAAACTAATTCAGTTCTAAAATGCCACATGCAGTAGCAGTGAATAGCTGCTTTTAGGTGCTTTCTGGAGGAGGATAAAATACAGAATCACGGCACTCTTCTCTTCCAGCGTCCCTGGCTGCCTGTAAATTGCTGTGAATGGGGCTGTGGGCTGACAGGCTCTATTAAGACAAACTGCCTTTCTCATCGGAGAGATAAAATAAATCAGGTGTTTAGTCAAATTAAAATACTTCAGCTGGAGCAGGCCCTGGGGAGCACTGATCCACCTGACTAATCTGAGAGAAACTCAAGACAGATGTGGTTTGGGGATAAAGATGACCCCACGGAACAACAACCAGAAAAAAAAAAAAAAAAAAAGGAAGAAAAAAGAGAAAGAAAGAAGAAGGATAAAAAATACTCCTGCTGCACTGTCTTTGGAATTGGAGACTAGATATAGTTTATAGTGAGAGTGTTGGGCACATACTGTGTGTAATATTGGATAAAAGCAGGCACGGTGACTTGTAGAGAAGCTGTGTACAGACGCTTTTTTGCTAGTTTCCTTTTTGCAGTTTATGAAACTACCTCTGTTTTTGTGTGGGAGGCAGAAGAGACTATTTTCCAGCAGTGCTTTTAGAGAATCATTTTAAGAGAGCTTGAAGGATGTGAAACAGATGATATTAGGCAGCTACTGATGACCTCTGCTGGCTTGGGCAGATCCTCAGAATCTGATCTACTTGTTTTCCAAGTTGATTTACCAAACCTCAAAACATGATTTAGTATAATATTTGCTACATAGTGTTAACTTCTAAGAGCATTCAGTAGTCTGGTGCCATCCTTAACATAACCTGACTATATTTAGGTTGCCATTTATGTCCCATAGATTGTCTATTCTTTTAGCAACTTTGGCAGTTGGAGTTCCTCTGTCATGGCAAAGCTTAATGTTTAATTAAATTAGTGTTTTTTAAGATGAAAAAACTTGTATTTGTAGGTTATGTTTGTCAATGTGATTCAGACTTGATTTTTTTTTCTTGCAGCAGCAGCAGCAACACTTGCTGTTAATTAAAACAAAAATCCAGCCTTGCAGGTTTTAAATGCCTGGCTTTAAATCATTATATGTGAACTAATACAGTGATTCAGAACAGAAAAATGACCCCCTCACACACACACGTACACGTGTTAACCTACACATTTTGAAAGTGTAAGCCATCATATAGTGTAAATTAATTTCACCTTAATTTAACCTCCAAGGGCTACATGTTGATTCCTGATTCGGGGGTGGGGAAGTTTGAATTGTTTGAATTGAAATGAGGGTGTTTCACAGCACCCTCATTTGTTAAGCCACTCACATCTGTTCAAAATATATATATCATTCAAAAATCTGGGCATGCTCAAGTCCTTAAGACTTGAGTTGGCCTAGTATTTGCATATAACCTCCTCACATCCCCTGTATACTTTAAACCGTCTCCAGCTTTCTTATAATACCTAATACAATGTGTTATGTAAATAGTTGTTATACTATATTGTTTTATGTATATTACTTTTATTTTTATTTTAAAAAATATTTTCAATCCATAGATGGTTGAATCAGCAGATGTGGAACCTAAAGGGAGCAAGGGCCAGTTGTGTGTCTTCCTCAGGTTTAAGGAACAGATAGTAACAGCCCGATGTGAGTGCCTCAGCCCTCAATTTGAAAGTATTACTTTGGTCTGTTCTTTTAAAACATGTTTCTTTTAATTCCAAAGAAAAAGTCATTTAGCTGTCGCTGGATGTTCATCATTAAGCAACTTTAATATCGTGATGATTTGTTAAAAAAAAAATTCAGTTTGATGTTGTTATTCTGTGAATTCTGATATGGATACATATTGGCACTGAAAGTACCAATACACTTAGAGATCTGGCAGCTTCACCTTAAACAGAAGGGGCTGAGAAGTCATTTTTGTATTATCCTCAGCCTCTCTGTTGCATGTGGAGAGGAGAAAGGGAAATAAATCGAAGATTATTGAGAAGACTTTGTCTAACATGGGAGAAGAAAGAAGAAAACATTTTCAATCTATGTTGGGGAATCTAAATACCATTAGTCTTTACCCAAAATTTTCTGTGAAAGCTCTTATTTATTAACAAAGAATTATGGTATAATAACTGTCCCAGTGTCCAAAAAAAATCCTCTTAATTCACTCCATATAAATAGGTATAATAAGAAAATTACATGTAGATTGGAGAATTGCACAAAAGGCATGAATTAAATGTGCACATATTCCATCTATCTCATAACTTTCCAATATAAACTCCACATTGAAGAAAAAATGGCCCCATCATACCTTGTTTAAAATAACTTAGTTATTTTGAATTATTCTTAGAATAAAGGTGAAGGTCATTAAGTATGGTCTATAAGGGGCTGAATGATATGGCCTTTTTTTGTCTTTCTAGCCTCATTCGTATGTGCTCCTCAAGATTAAGGAACAGATAGTGACAGCCTCATTTGAGTGCTTAACTCCTCCCCTTTCTTTTCCTGTCTCAAGTTTATCTAACTTCTTTCAAATTCTGGAACACACCAAACTGAAACCCCTCCCTCCACCACAACACACACACACACACACACACACACACACACACACACGCACCCACCGCACACAGAGATGGCCTTTGCCTGTATTTTTTTCTCCTAAAAAGCTCCTTGGCCACCAGCCACCCTCGAATAACCCTTCCTTCAGTTGTAGTTCTTTTGCCATTGCAAAATTTCATGTTTTCTGGAACGCTTCTGCTCAGACTACCCTCTAATTCTTTGCCTAAGTAACTCTTTCATCTTCGGCTAATTTGTTAGTTTTTTAGGTGCCTTTCCTGAACTTGGGCCCCCAAACTTGGTTAAACCTTCCCCTCAAATATTTGTCTTGTTTGTAATTCTCATTTAGTTGTTTACATTTATATGTGTGATTACTTGTAGAGGTGTCTCTTCCAACTTTGGATAACAAACTCTGCCGAAGAGTTGTTGCTGTGTCTTGCTGTGTCTGCTTTTACTTGCCGTGGTATCCTTCGTTCTTGATGTAGTCTTGACACATAGTTGCCATTCTGAAAATATGTATTGAATTATAAATAAATAAGTAAATTTCACACTTTCCTGGTTCTGTGTCTTCTCAGTCTCATTATTAACATATACATTAGTTGAGCTTTGTGTGCTTTTCAAGAGATTTTATAATTGGAGCATTATTATTTGTATCATAATGTTTCCAGATCAAAAAGTTCTTCCTTTTTCCAAGCTGAAATTCATATTGCCAAAATAAAAACCCTTTTTCTTTTAATTAATTCAAAGAGCTTGAAAGAATAGCTGGTCACTAGTAGTCTTGATACAGCGTTTGTTTCCTTATCAGTGGGATATATTACTAACATCTTTCTTTTTGTTTTCATTTTGATTTTATGCTCTCTTTTACCTCAGTGAGACTGAGGGATGTAAAGGATACTGACAGTTCTCCTTTTTTTTTTTTAAGGGCTCAAGTTGCTATTAAGAATCCCAGGGTAGTCCTAAATGTGGTGGCTTCTCTGCTAACATCAGTCTTACTCTGTGAGAATCAGACCTTAGCACGTGCTAGCCTATATCCTCTCAAGTTTCCCTTTCTCCTTGGTGGTCACTTAAAAAAAAATAAGATCACTCATAATTTAAATATTTTTAGTTTCTCAGATTGTCCCAGTGCTTTCTTAGCAGGCACGAGGGTGTTTCATAAGGAGGCTGGAAGTTTCCCCTTGCATAAACACAAAAACTGGCTATCTTTGTCCCCTTTGACAGCCTGTGGCATCTTTCTGAAAAGCTTTCAAATCACAGATCATTTCTTCATAATGAAATCTGTGTGGCTCAAATACAGTGGGTTGAAATTCTTATCTAATGCTGCGGTAAAATGCTCTAATTTAGATTCACAAAAGGATTCTGTACCCTTTACTTACGCGAGCTATGCAATTTGCCCATAAAAAGACTATTCAACACCATTAGTGCATAACGTAAGTGTTCAGCGACATCATATTCATTAAACAGTGTATCCTTATGCGTGGCCTTTTTGACCTCAAATGTGTTTTTTTTCCCTTTGAAGAATGGCAAATGACAAAGGGGCCCCCAAGCAACAGTGTTGCCTTTAAGGATGAACTTGGGAATTTGAGCTTGATCCTTTCACGAGGGGGGGGGGAGGGAATCACCTTCAAACCTTTCTCACCTGTGGCAGTTTTTATACTCCCTGTAGAACTCATTCTGTGGTCGAGAGATTGACCTCTGGCTTCTGAACTTTAGCAGTAGATCTTTTCACAATAGAAAAATTTTGTGAAGGCGATGACTAGAAAATTTCTTAAATAACATGTATTAAGCACCTGCTTTGTCTTAGAGACTTAGTCTCTGAGGATAGAGGTGGTTATAGATTATTTTTAGTGTACTTCATAGTTTCTGATCTTTAGTACTAAATATCACAGGTTTCCTAGCTTGATCAGCTAGATTGGGGAGGGGGGCAAAGTATGGTGAGAAGTGGAGAATGGGGTAGATGGCTTGGTTTTTAGAGTGAGTGGGAAGAGTGAATGATAGTTTTACTGGTGACAATACATTTTCTTGGCAGGGACAATGAGTAACCCAGACATTTATTCCATTGCTGTAACTACTCTGTGGTGTTCTTGCACTCACAGCGACCTTCAGTCACTCTCTCAAATCTTTAAGTGTCTTAGGGTGGTTCCTTTCTAAATTCTGCCCTTCGTTCTCTGATTCATTCAGATATTCCGCAAGCTTGTGAGATCTCTTCTTGCTTCCATTTTAGGTACACCTGAGAGCCTGGCAGAAAAAGAACGGCAGCTCTCCACTATGATTACCCAGCTGATCAGTTTACGGGAGCAGCTCCTGGCAGCGCACGATGAACAGAAAAAACTGGCAGCCTCGCAAATTGAGAAACAACGGCAGCAAATGGACCTTGCTCGCCAACAGCAAGAACAGGTGAGCCCTGCAAAGGAGCCGCCGAACTGGAGATGTGGCACGTGCCAAGCTCAGCAAGTAATCACATTGATTGGCTTGTTATAAGCTTTCCTCCAAAATAAAAATAAAAAATTAGAAAAAAGATGATGAGAGAAAGGAAAAGAAAGGAAAAGAAAGGAGGGAGGTATGGAGGAAGGAAGGTAGGAAGGAGGGAAGAGAGGGAGGGAGGAAAGAAAGGGAAGGGAGAAAGCAAAGGAGCAAGGGAGGAGAAAAGAGAGAAAGTGTTTCTGGAAATGCAGAGTCTTTGGGACAATTAAGGGGATATGTGGAAGACAAAAGCCTCATAGCAACTGAGCATAACTGAAAAGATACATTATTTGAGACGGTTTGGATTTAATTAATTACTCAGAGATATTTATTCACACAGGCATCCTAGGTAATCCCAAGTAGCAAAATTACCATGAGTAAGTGACTTCTCTGAGCCGTACTCATCCAGAAAAGGGGGTTCTGTTCTAGAAAAACTCCTAGCATCTTTTAGCTCACAGGTCCAATGATTTTCTCTGGCTTTTAAGCTAGGGTGACAACACATCTAGGTTTTTCTAGATATCCTTGATTAAGTTCTGCTTTCTAGTGTAAGAATACCCTACTCCCTTTCCTTGCAAAAGTTGTCTTGGTTTGGAATATAGATTAGGCAATCAATATTTACACTATAGGTAAATCATTGGAAACAAATTAGCACATGTTCCCTAAAAGAATTTGACCTGATTGACTTAGAATGAAGAAAAAATAATGTAATTTAAAGTATATTTTTAAAAAATAAATCACTTTCCCAAATGTTTTTCTTGTCTCTTAAGTGGACATTAATTTAACAGTAATGATCCTATGGAGTAGTCCCTGATGCTTTTGATCAGACAGACCCAAATTAATGTGCAGTTTTTAGGAATCTGACATTATTACTAGAATTATCTTTTCAGTTAAATGTATTTTATAGGGGTATATAGAGCAATATATGCTCTGTTGATTTTAATGAGTTGTGACGTCTGGTATTTTATATGCTTGAATATTTGCCCACATGTAGGAATATGGACTCAGCCCCTAATGGAAAATAACATAAAGGAACACTGTAAAAAATCAGAAGTTAGAATGTCATTTAGCCATCCAGAGATGACACAGTAATTAACTATTGACACTTGTGAATAAGCTAGCACAAATTAATCTTGACACATTTGCAGACGAGTGATATCTTACAGTGAACACTTTGTAATTATATTTCAAAATGAAAATTAAATGACACTTAAAACTAGGTTGTCATGCTCAATGAAGCGAGCATGTAGCTCAACCGATTGGCAAATAAAATTCAGAATTTGAGCCACATGGTGCTTATGTGCCATACTTCACTGTGTCAAACCCATACGTCTAGAGTGGATGATAGTAATTGCACTGTGGTGTTTTGGATGCATTTCTATGCAGCACTTTATCATTTAGGAGGGACCATCAATATTAGATGCCTAGTGGTGTTTCACTAGTTTGCTAAGAGGAAATAAATATTCAGAGGATCCAGCGTCTATACCTAGAGCTGCAGAGTGAGTTGTACACTCCTGATTTAAATGTTGACAGGCAGAGTAGGCCAGTCCAATCTGATTAAATCCTGTTTCCATTTTGTCTATAAAGCTTTGAGAAGGAGTAGTCCCATTTCTTGAACTCTTGTATCTTTAGCATGCCTTCCAGTATGAACCAGTCATCACCAGAAATCATAAAGCAACATTTGGGAGCTGACTGCTACATTGTCATCTTAGGCTAAAGGAAATGTCTTGGGGGCATTTCTCTCTGCACCAGGCTGGAACACTGAAAAGGCTCAGGAAGTACATAGCTGGGGATTGATCCATACTCATTTTCACTTCCAACACAGCTCATTCTAGGATACTGTCTTTCTAATAGGAAGAAAAGACTAACTCTTGCTAATTAGGCACAAATAAACCAAATCCTTCTAAGTGCTCTCTGGCCACTTTTCTTTCTGGTTTCCTAGCTTGGCAGTGAGTGCATTCTCAATAAAAAGTATCTCCCTGGACTTCAAGCTGTAGCAGCTCAGCTTTTGAGGCAGTAAGCAGCCTGATGCCTGACTTATGCTTCATAAAAAACACCATTATCCTAAGGAGGTTGTTTGACCTCCTGGGGGCAGATTTAGCCATCAATAGGATTTATATTAAATGGTTAATATTTTCTTGTATAGACTAGATAATGTGGGTAGATGTTGCATTTGATTGTTGGATAAAGAAGGGACTATAAAACTTGCATGAGGATCCTGTACTGTAAAATAAACATATTACCCTCAAAAGGATAAATGGATAAGCGTTAAATTACAGCTTAGTTTGTTTTAAAAATGCTTTGTACTACACCTACAACATCAACAAAAACTAGAGGTTTTTGACTTTTGCTGTTGTTTTTGACACTCTTGACAATATTTGTAAATATATTAGTTCTGAAAATCTTTGCATCAAAAACGGTTTCACCCAAGTAGATCATATTATACATTAAAGCTTTTCACTGTCCTGCGTACAGACTTTACTTTTTATATCCACATTAAACACTTTAGAACAATACAGCCAGAGTTTCCCTGTCTTTTAAGGATTAGATTTCCCAATTCTCATTATTTCTAGCTAACCAGTGCAGATATAAGTGAATTCCTCACAAATGTAATAGAAGTAGTTTTCACCTCACAAAGTAGAGAGATGGCACCCGTTTATTTTTTTTATTTTTTATTTTTTGGCACCCGTTTAAATTTTCTTTCTTTCCTTCAACTTTCTGATTCTGCTGTTCTCATTTTTTAAGGACTCTTTCATATAGAGGTGCAGTAAAGCATTCTTGTACTACCAGGAGAGATACCTGAGGTAATGGCAAAGGTGTAAGCATTTCATTTTAACTTAATGAAACTTTATTTCTGATAGATTGCAAGACAACAGCAGCAACTTCTGCAACAGCAGCACAAAATTAATCTCCTGCAGCAACAGATCCAGGTCAGTGTATTTTATTACTCTCATCTGATTACATTTAGACACTTTCCTCCTTGAAAATGGAATTTAAAATGCTGCAAATGCACCCCTGTCTTATAAACAGCACCAACAGGGCTGTTATTCAACGATGTTGAACACAATTGTACAAGTGGATGTGAGAAATGTGGACTAGGTGGTGTTCTGAGTGTTCTTCTCTGACGTGATACTTAAGCAGTATAAACCTTATCTTTTTTTCCTTCTGCCATTTACCTAACACAACCTTAGGAATTTAATAGGGTCCAAGATAGCATAAGAGGCTATTTTTTATTGCCACAAACTGCTTTCTGCTTTGTATTTTACCATGGACTAGTACCATGGCAAGAAGCTTACTTTTAGTTACTTGTTAAGACTGGGCCAACTAGAGGAGAATTTGAAAAGGGGATGTTAATAATTAATTTTTTCCTTAACAAATATTAACTGCATTCCTCTTAGTTGCAGAGGGCAATATAAAGATTAACAAGTGACAGTCTGTCCTCAAGGAGCTTACAGTCTAGAAAGAAAGAAAACTTGTTCTTGAATAATTGCGACAAAGTTACTTTCTGTTATGGCAGTATCAGAATATATAGACCATAATTACAATGGTCTGGGAAGGAAAGATAAAATATCTATTTCTGTCGTTCATTACTTGATAGTTAATTCACTAACAGCTATTTGAGACAAGTAAGGGAAATGGTCTACATTTATGAGTAGGAACACAGGTATGTGCCTTCTGCAAAACCCTAGGATAAGGAACTGGTTGTCTGGCGATTAATCCTCAGTAGTACTAATCCCAGCTAACCTTACCCAAATACAGACCATTTGTCTTGGTCACTATAGATACTTTCTAATAGGGATCTCTTGATTCCCTAGATCTGTGATTCAAACTAGTTGGAGCATCATATTATGTGTTATATTATTGCTTGCAGTTAATATCATGCCATCCTATATATTTTAAAAAATCAGCATAAAGTCTACCTTATTGATGAGTAGCAATGATTTCAATTTAGATTCTTGCTTCATTTTGTTAATTGTAGTTGGTATTCTAGGTAGTAGTTACTACATTTAAAATACTGATTTGGTATCTGAAGAAGTGTCTCTCCCTAATATGGCATTTTGTCCAGCTATTTTTAGAAGAGGTTTTAGTCAAATGTTTTGTTTGGTTTTGTCCTGATTCCATATTCTGTAATCAAATTATACACGTTTCAAAATAAAGAGCCCAAATACAGATCAGATGGAATGTCTTTGGCATTTTTGACCATCAGCCTTTACAGTTAAATCTTGGAATAATTTCTCATCCTGATATCTCTTTGATGCCTCATGCCGAGATCCTTAATTAAATAACTGTCCAGGTGTTCTCTTGTTCTGCCCTTATTAGACTTTTCAGTGTATCTCCTACTGCTAAGGTCAAGATTTTTAGCCCTGTGGCTTCCTACATTTTTCTCTAGATCCCTCTTTAAGAACTCAGTAGGTGTTAACTAACACGATCATTTACTTCTCTCCATTTTTCCTATTTGTAAAGCAGGAGTGGAAGAAGTTCTCTGAGATATTCCTATATCAGTAAATTATTACTAATATTTTTGCTACCTCTATTATTTACTTTGTTTGTTTCTAATATATTTCACTCCACTGTTGTTTATGTTGACTGGCTGTCTTAACACTGGCAGTGTTTTCCTGTGGCACTGATAACTTCAGGATAGTAACCAAATCAGCACAGAGTATTTTAATGAACTATTATTAGTATTTACTTATTACATGTGATTTTGTAGTTATAACTTTAGTATGTGAAATTACTGTTTTTTTCAGGAAATTATAGAACATGATCTTAAAATATTTATTGGAATGTTCAAGTTGAGAAGATAAGAATGATTTTTTTTTTTAATTTTCTAATAGATGTTGAATTGCTTTTAAAATTTGTGGCTATTTCTCCCTGTTTAAATTTTTTAAAATTTAAGCCAATCAGCACCTGAACTTAGCAATGTAAATTATAAAATTATAGATATTCACTGTCATAGTAACATTGATTTAGAAATATAGGACGCTTTATCAAGAATTTCAATTTAAAAAACTGAGAAGAAACACTAAGACCTGTATGTATGGTTTATTCTGTCCTGAGGTATTACGTGTCAGTATTTGTCTTATCAGCATGAGAGACTATGTGAGGAATTTCTCAAATGCTGAAAAACACTTACTCCTCACCCAAAACTTAACTCATCTCTAATATAGAGTAGGTATTTGATATTCAGACTTTCATTTTTTTTTTTTTGGAAGGACAATAGGTTAACTATGTTTTCAAATATGGTTTTTGATGATTCATAGATGTGATCAAATTTAGGAGAGAAATTATTATTGGGCTAATTTTAATGTACCTTTTGAGCAAAATATGAGGTTTCAGGGATGCTTCAAACATTTTTCTATCATAAAACGTTCTCCCATTTGAAAACAAAACAAAACAGAACAAAGCATAAAATGAAACTGAACTTCTCTTCCGAAAGCAAATAATGAATACAGAGACAATTTGAGTCAATTTGAAAGTTATTTTTCTTTCTAAATCTTGAGTCCTGGACACTATTAGCTAATGTGGTCAGCAAATTAAGCCATGGCAATTGGCTGTAGATTATGAGTATCAGGTGGTTACATTCAGCATCATTCTTCTGATTAAGAATGCTGACTTCTGAATTTGTACCTTTTTATCTGAATTTGCAGACTTTAATAGAAATAAAAGGAAGAATGTCTAACCTCTTGTAACAACACACACAAACACATTTGGGTCTATTATAATGGAAACAAATGAAAACTTGAATGGTGTGCACAAATTGAAAAACAGGATTTTTCATTAGAAATAGGAAAAGGCTTGTTTAGATAGCATTGTAAAATTATTCAAAAAATCCCTTCTTCCTGCACAGTAACCAAAGAGATGCTAATATGTGCTATTATAAATCATTTATTCCCCCTTGAATACAATTTTTAACATTGATAAATCTAAACTTTTAAAGAGACACTTCTTAGGTCGTATAAACCATGTCAAAAAGGAAGAATGATTTACAGTTTTTATAGTTTTGATGAGCCAATTTTTACCATTTAAAAAATCAGTAAAATAATTTTAAATGATTATTAAAATAATATTATTAAACAGATCCTTTTGGAGGCTGTTTGCTTAGTGCATTCTAATTCCTACTTTAGAGAAAATGGTGATTTCTGTAAATTGTTACATATTAAATAATTCTCCTGATACGGAGCTCAGAGAAAGTTAGGCATGTTTGCTATTTCCAGGAAAGAAATAGCACAATTTTTGTCAAGTCTATGAAAAGCAAACCTAATAAATAGGTCATAGAATATGGATCCTTGAAATTGGGAATGTTGATTGTTAATACTATAATTCCAAACGACAGATAACTGCTTCAGTAATTTTATCCTGCCTCTACCACTCATTACACTGTAGTACCTTAGCCAATATTTTGAAGCATTTTATTTCTCAGTTATGTTAACTGGTAAAGAAAATTCACTTTTAATCCATTTGACAGTTGTAAACAGATCAAAGCGTATCTATAATATTTTGATCATCTATTAAATGTAAGACTATTCTATGCAAAACAGAAAATGTTTCTTAATTTCTTAATTCGTTCATATGTTTATGTACGTAACTTCGTTTGACCAAGTCATGGTTTTGAATCTGGACCAGACATTCTCCCTGGACACAATATTCCACATTCTTTCATTTCTAAAGCATGTAAATAGGAAAACATATAATGATGGCATTTTGCAGCTAGAACTTAGTTTTGCAAAAGAATTCAGCTCATTAAAATATCTCTGTGAGAAACTTACTTTTCCAGGGATGAATGGTATTATCCAATTATTCATGTCTCTTCAGAACCCAATTTTAGAGTTATTCAAGTGGCTTGCATTGTATTCTATACAGGCAGTGTCCTCTCCTCACATCACTGGCTGAACAACAGTCTCTTAAGAACAGAATGGCTGGTTGGGAATTTATTTGGGTATTTGGCTTTCTGGGCCGGGGCCAATGAATTAGTCAATTCATACACATCTTTTGGGGGGTACAACTGTGAGGCTTGAAATTGTTAGCTCTTTGTTTTCTCTATGATTAATATACAATATTCATTGCCCTTTTCTCATTTAATCCGTGCACTGGTAACAAACTCAATCTGTAAACGTCCTAATTAAATGCCATTGCTGCTTCTGGGGCAGATACTGTCTTACCTGAAAACTTTTTCTCTTAAATGCTGTAACACAGGCTGCTTGTTTCTTTTTTCTTTCTTTGTTTTTTTGTTTTTTTAATTCAAAATACTAAGGGAGTACAAGTATTTTTGTTATGTGGATGAATTGTGTAATGCTGAAGTCAGGGTTTTTGGTGTGCCCCTCACCAGAATAGGGTGCTGCTTATTTTCTTTTCCCCAAATTAGTTGTTTTTCACTTGAAGCTTCACTTTGTTCTTAAAAGTATATCAGTATCTTTCATCCATAGTGCTTCCTGTTTGGATTATAATATACTCCTTTGTGCTCTTGGTATATTTTGTGTGTGTGGGGGGGGGGTGTTTGTCACACAGTAAAGCATCATAAAATGTGTCTTCCTGCATGTTAACCAGAGAGATGCTAATGTTATAAGCAAGAAAATGATTATCTTTAAATAATTAAACAGAATAACTTGATATGTACTCTCAAATTTTAAGGAGATAAACCTTGCCTTTTGTTTCCTTCAATATGATTAACTACAGACATTTCAGGTATCTGCTGAGCAGAATAAAGGACTACTTTTTTATGCGAAGTAGTTGTCTAGAGATCAGAAATAATTACTTTGTACATTAGCCTTCATGGCCTGCTTGACCTGGTTAATTAATTTTTTGCTAGTATAATAATAATAGATATATATTTGAAGATATGCTTCATCGTTAAGTATCTAATTGACCTCTAATTTTAAGAGCTGGACCTTCCATTTATTGTCTTTTGGAGATGGCTGGAGCAGCCAACAGG